TTATTCTAAACTTTGTCAATATGTCAATTAAAAATAAAACATTGAGGACATTAAAGATTATATTCTCTTCCTAATTGCGTATTACGAACAAAAAAAAGTTATTCTACATTAAATAGTAAATAGAAGTCCCACCACACCAAAATTAGGGACTACAAACTCAATTTTATATGAAAATCAGAACAATTATTTTACAACTTTATACAGTACATATATTCAATTTATATACTTAGCAATTCAATATATTTAAAAAAGTGATTTCATAAAGCATTTAGCAGTTACAATTCAGCACTTAATATTTAGTCAAAAACTTGTACATAATAGTGCTTAATCTCAATTTCCCTGTCTTACGCCTATGCTTTCTGACTTAGATGAACCTAGTCCGCTAGGTATTAAGTCTCTTGCTCTAATCTCTCTCTCTCTCTCTTGTATGCGCTGCTCGCGGCTACAATCTTCCATATTCAGTCCTAAGAGGTGGTTTTGGGGTGTTCAATTCTCACACTAGTGTTTAATGTTTAAGGAAGAATGATGTATTTTTATGCTAAAGATACTAATCCTAGCCAGAATATAAATTATATTGAAGTAATTTTAATAAGTCAGTACTGTGATAAAAGTGTATCTCAAAATGTGTAAAGAAGTATCTTAAGCGCTAATAGTTTTCGTTGGGTATTATTTTTTTTGTTTTTTTTTTTTGTGGTGAGGAGGTGGAATGCTTTATGCACCGTCAAACCGACCGTCGTCGGTATGGTGTGCCCGACTCTCTAACATTAATATATACGGACTAAAACACCCCATCTTCAGCGAGACTTTTTCCCCGTCGGAACCGCTTTCGCATTACTTCAAGGAGGGTCTCTTTTATGTTGGCATTTCAAGCCACGCTCTCTTGAGTTTTGATCTTCGTCCAAACCACCACTTTTCACCGCATTTTCTTGGTGTCCACTCTATTTATTATATTTCTTATTCTAGTTTCTAGTTTTCCATTCTAGGTTCCATTGCGATATTATCTCTTGTTAGTAACGTTTGTGGGTGCAATGAAGTCTCTATTGGCTACAACTTATCGGTTACCGTACATTTAATAATTCCTGCAATTACAAACACGTGACTGTGCTTGATATTATATCTTCAAAACAGCCCTATACGAAAAATAGAAAAACTTAATGATTTTCTAGAAAAACGAATTCTATTTATTGGCACTTCAGATAACAATGTATTTCTATTTATGCGATATATGGAGAAAGAATGACATTCATTGAGCAAAATTAAGATATTAGTACTTGTCGTTAATATTATAAAAGCGGAAATCATTGAGATATGTTCTGCATTCGTACTATATATAGTTTCTATATATTGTATTTTAAGGGAATATGCTTAGTCTGTTTTTCTCACTGCAAATACGCCACCCACTCGTACATTGTATTACTGTTCATGTGTATCTGCATGGCAGCGCATGAATCAGTTATGAATGATTTTTCCTAGAACAAAGTATTTTTAATCAATAACAGAATTTAAAAATAAATATATAGACTTTAGTAAGCAACGACATATTTAATTAATATCAATTCAGCTGCGAAATTCCCAACATTTCTAAACACCATTCAATAATCATATAATCGTACTCACCGTACAGGTAGCTCACGTATATAGTTGATTATTTCTTCAAGTAGTGGGGAGGCACTGATTTGCCAATAATCAATAGAAATTAAGGGTCTCATAAATTTTGACTACCGTAATATCAAACATTTTTCAAAACAATTTACGATCTTTGATTATATGTAAAACGCAGATTATGCATAAGATAAGATTAAGTCAATAATTTAAAATGTTCTTTGACATATCATATAAGAGGTTTTCAAAAAATTCTTAGTATTTCATTTTAGTGTAGTTTAGTTATTTGATCTTAACACATTCAGAAGAGGAAGAAATTTATTGCTTTAAAAACATATTTTTGACATTGCCTAAAAGAAATGTCAAATCGCGTGAGAATAATTCTTCTTACTTTAGCTCTTTTCATAGGTGCTATAACGGCTGACAGAGGTGAGTGAACAAAAAAAATAATTACACAGAATTGGAAAAAAAAATTTATTTGTTAAAATATATAGGTTTGAACTTTTTTTCAATTCCCTTATTAAAGCAATAAAAACATGTTAAATATTGATTCGATCAATAAAGAATCAAGAGTATCTATTTATATTTCTTGAATTTTTAATATTTATTGTGAGCAATTTTTTTTAATACCTGTCTATAATGGTTTTTCGTAGTATACATATATAAACTTTATATAAATATAAGAATTTATATATGTATTTAAATTAATATTTAATTTATATATAAGATATATAAATTTCCATTTTCTATCGGAATATATCGTATTATTTCGAAATGAAAAAATATTTTCAGATAATATTCAGATATAATATGCTTAGCGCAAATTTCTTAGACTTTGGATTATTTTCAATAGTATCTATTCTGTCTACAATAATTTTTTTATAGGTCACATACATATATAAATTTTGATTTTCCTATCCGAATATATAGTATTACTTCAAAATGGCAAAATATATTCGTTCGGATATAACATACTCAGTGCAAATTCTTTAGATTTTGGAATGTCTTCAAGAGTATCTTCACTATGACTTCCTTAATATATCTATGTTTATGCAAGAGCGGTGTTCAACATGTGTTTTTTAAAAAATTCACATTTATGTGGTGTCTGACGCCCTAGCATATATAGGTTGATTACAATAATCTAAAAAAAGGAAATGCGTGTTTCCGCTTGATATTGCCAATTTTGGACTATTCGTTAGTGTTAGGCTGTAAACACATTGTGCATATTAGAGTTTTGCTATATGTTTATATCTGGTAACACATATTATAATAATTGGATAATAATTGTTATCTTCAAGTTCAAATATTAAATAAATTATATCACATAATAAGGATCTTCTGAGAGTTGTGATTTTAGAATTATTTCGCTTATAGAAACCAAGCTCATAAATCGCCAAAAAAAGCTATGGAATCATCAGGTTACTCGACGTCTAGATGTGCTATTAGAAACTTTCCACCAGAAACTTGATTCTACTACTCAACGTGGGCACTTCCATCATAAAATATAATTAGATGATTGATTGCTAGTAATCTATACCACGTCCGCATACTTGCATAGGTTTTGAACAGTTATAGAATAATTCTATTAGTTTGATTAAGATAAATATATTCCCAACTTTATTTTTGATGAATGTGTTCTAACTTAAGATATTATTCTTCATTCAAAATAGCACGATTGTGGTATCAGTTAAGTGAAAAACGATTAATGTCGAACTGACCATTCCATGTATATTATACATGGAGCAACAGTAGCCCTATAACTTCTTGTAGAACAAGATTATTAAAGAAATGATGGAAGCATTACTGATCTAATTTACAGTTTCTATATAATTTTGTAAATGCAATATGTATATTGCAAATATGTATAATTAATATGAAAATATGTATGTTTTATGAACTCTGGTATATTAATAAAATGTAGCTACTCACTACAACTACGACAAGAATATTAAAAGAACGATTTGTTCTAACTAATCGCGTGTTATTTGTTTATATGTTTCAAAGTTTACTTTCATACGTAGTTCGCATATTTTTTTCTAAAAAATAAAATAATTATGTGTTGAACTATTATTAGTAAAAATATTTTATAATTTAAAGTAGAAAAAGCCACCAGTTTAATCTTTATTGCTTTCACATACAGTGATCAATAAATAATTTAATTCAGGAGCGATACATGTGGTAGACCATCGATAAGATTATTTTTGAAAGGTAGTTTCCTACTATTGCTTAGAAATTATATACATTAAATCGATTTTAGTCCATCTAATAAATCTCTGTAATAATAAATATTTTAATCCTTTGATTTACAGCACATCCAAGGCCTCGCTTACACGGACGTCAGGTGCATGCAATCAAAAATGTTGATGAGCTAACAAATCAATTTTGGAATGAAAAAGCCCAAGCGATCTTGGCTGAAAGATTGCAGCACTCAGAGACAGTGAAGACCAATCATGCAAAGAACATAATAATGTTTTTAGGTGATGGAATGTCTGTGCATACAATAACCGCTGCACGAAACTTAATGGGTGATAGTGCAGAGCAAGTTTATTTTGAAAAGTTCCCTTATGTCGGGCTATCGAAAACATATTGCGTAGATCGACAAGTTGCTGATTCTGCTTGTACAGCCACTGCATATTTGGGTGGTGTGAAAGCTAACTATGGTACAATTGGTGTTAATGCCAATGTTAGGCGTTACAATTGTACTGAAGCACAAAATCCCGCAAATTTCGTTGAGAGTATAGCGAAATGGGCACAAGATGCAGACAAAGATACTGGTTTCGTTACAACATCTAGAGTAACGCATGCTTCTCCCGGTGGTGTATATGCTCACACTGCAAATCGAAATTGGGAAAATGATGCTGAAATACTCTCAAGCGGTTGCAGTGCTGTAGATAATGTAGATATTGCACGCCAATTAGTCGAGTGGTCTGTTGGTAAGAAACTTAAAGTTATTATGGGTGGCGGACGTCGCAACTTTTTGAATACAACAGTCAATGATGAAGAAGGTCTGCCAGGCTTACGCAGTGATGGTCGCAATTTAATTAAAACTTGGTTACAAGACAAAACCTCTCGCAATATAAAAGCTAATTATGTTTGGAGCAAGAAGGGTTTAAGTAAAGTGGATCTATCAAAAACAGAGTATTTGCTGGGTTTGTTTAGTAATTCACATTGTCCATATCATGGAGATCTTAAACGTAGTCGGCTTACAAATGCAAAACCATCCTTGTCGGAAATGACAGAAGCGGCTATTAAAGTCTTACAAAAGAATAATAAAGGATTTTTCCTGTTTGTGGAGGGTGCACGCATCGATATGGCACATCACGACACGCGAGCAAGAAAATCATTGGAAGACACTGTAGAATTTGCTGAGGCTATAAAAAAAGCACGTGAAATGACCTCAACAGATGATACGTTAATTGTAGTAACTTCCGATCATTCACACACAATGACAATTAATGGTTATCCGGTAAGTGATTTATTTTGGTTTTCTTGTCAATTATTGTAGATTATTACACTAATCTATCCAATTTATGGATTCTTATGAGAAGAAAATGTTAAGAAATTGTGAAGTAGGATTCTTCTCAAGCAAATTAAATTTAGGATTAGTTTTAATTAGAAAAATAAGTATGTAATCAATCAATTTTTTAAAATTATTGTTTTGCATATTGATCGATTTATCGTCCATGGAACTAAACTGTCTAAACGGTTTAAGCACTTATATTTAAACACGAACGTTATTTATTTTTATAGTCGGGATTTAGATTTTTTCTTCTTACAGAATAGAACACGTTCCAATGTAGTTAGAGCAACCTACTAGAGCAACTCTAATTAAAGTATTGAGCGGCTTGTAATTGTTATAGACTATTCAGCCCAAGATTTCACCGATATCTGAATTGTAATATATAATAAAAATTGAAGTTTATTTGAATTTTATATTATTCATGATTTTTCATCTTGAGTTAGTGCTATTACGCACTTTTACTCTATAATGGCTGGGGGGTTTATCTCTACCCCACACTAGGCTTTAACTAGGCTAAGAAATCATATCATTTATTTTTCTTTTAGTTCTTGAATATATCATATAAATAATAGTTATAATAGCAGCACTTTAATTATAATTTCAGTATCGCGACCAAGATATTACAGGATTGGCCGATGATGTTGCAGATGATGGATTACCTTATACAATATTATCATATGCTAATGGACCTGGTTTTTATAGCACTTACTCTAATGATCATGGACGAAATGAAATTACCGAAAAACTCACCGCTGATGCTAAATTCGAATATTTAGCTTCAGTTCCATTATCTTCAGAAACCCATGGTGGTGACGATGTTGGCGTTTTTGCATCTGGACCTTATGCTCAATACTTTAGTGGCAACTATGAACAGAGTAATATACCTGCAATGATGGCAAGAGCTGCCAATATTGGACCATTTGCTGATGTCTAACTGTTGATATATATAAAACTTACGATTATTATTTATTCTTATTAATTTCCTCTTATTTAAAAATTATATTATTATATTATATTATACAAATGTGTAATAATAAATAATTTTTGCAAGAAAGTAATTTGTTATTCAAACATAAGTTTGCCGCACCATTCTTTGGACAGGAAACTTCTTGTAGAAGAAATTGGTTCACAACAAGGTCTCTGATAAAAAAATGGTTTGTAAGCGAAAAAAAAGTTACTGCTGTCACCTTTTTTTTTTTAATTCTTAATTTAAATATATCTTGTTCCGTTGAATCCATTGGGAGTAAGTAATGTGTAAATATATGTTATCAATATTTATTTAAAAAAAAATGATTTTGATGAGTTGTGGAATTTCGGAAAGATGATACTTATTAAAGTGGATCAATATATCCTTTGAATCTTACTTACTTACTTCGTTACAAAGTTAAAGTAAATTATTTCCATCTCGTTTGTAATCCAATAAAGGAATTGCTAAGTCAACCCAACTAAATGTCAATTCAGTGCAATTTTAAAGCCATCACAGCGATTAGTATTTTCCACGTAAGCTAATATCGTTAAGTCGGGTTTATTGGATTCATTTTGCAATTTATTAGAAAGTTGCAACGTTGCCTCGCTGAAGTTTACTGCGTTGCACATATGATGAATGCACAAATTTCTGTCATAACAGAGATGATTTTTAAAACTTAATTATAAATACAGCATCCCACATGAAATATAATCATAAAGTAAGTTTATGTGTAGCTGGTATGTGAACTATTCGCCGCTGATGAAATGTCACGTTAGTATGGAAAATACAAGGGCAACATGCTGTGCATGCATTCATCATGCTGAAATGTTGAATGTCTTCTTTCCATTGTCGTACAGATTCAGCTTAAGAGCTTTTTAATATACACTTACATAAGGAAAAAAGTTCTTGAATTGTAGAAATAAATTTAAATTAAAAATTTTAAAATGATTTAATTTGAAAACATCATAGCGAAATGACAGTATAACATAATAATAAAGTTAAATTCAATAAATATATCCATTGAAATTTAAAGAGTTACTAGAAGGTCTTCAGAATGTAATGGTTATTGTTGTTGTAACATAAGACATTTTACCCTGCTTACAAACGATAAAATTATAATGATTGTGGTTGGCAGTAATTGCATACTGTAGACAAGTTATTTCTGGTTACAGCCAGTTTAAATAAATGTGGAATTTAAATCTATTGTGATTAAAACCTATTATCCAGTATTTTGACAATATATTGAGGACACAATATGTTTTTCCAACAGAGTCTAGAGTTGTTATCTGACTTGTAGGTTCAACAGTACAAAATATCAAAATAATGCGCCGATAAACGCCCTATTAGAAATTCCAAGAAATTTCCGCCGCACCAATTTAAGTCATGTGCACCTTACTCTTGGTTAGAGCGATGCCTGCCGATACCGCTGCTGATCTTTTTGTTACAGCACCAAGTATGAATACGTAGCACCACGCCGAATGAAAGTAAAATTCAATCACATTCTTTCTGCGTAAGGCTGGATTTAACCACAACCACCACGACACTCCCAACTTCAATTGATCAGGACAGCGGGGACTGATTCCCGTGATACTAGATATACACCTCAGGTCGTGTGTCACAAGTAAATCTCATTCACTACCATTTACACTCCAAACAGTGTTGGAATGGTGTCGTGAGTTAAGTTGCCTCTTACGACAGGCATGCCTTACTTCGGGAATATTCTAACCTCAACCCGGAAAAAAATTTATACCTATGGGCCTATAGCTAAATGTCACAAAACAACAGTTTACAATACACAATGATGCAGACACCAAAACAATTAATAAATAACAATTCGTAAATTATATAAGAATTCCCTTAAGTTATAAACATAGTAAATATAAATCCAATAATAATAAGTTTTACTGGGTTAATGGCAATAACAACAACAAAAGCAATAGTCGACCGAAATTTATACCCTTTTAAAATAGTCCTTAGTTGTACTGTATATGTTTAGCGGAATGAGAAAAACTCTCAGTAAAAGAATGTGAAAATTGAATCACACCTTAACAGATAGCATTTCCTTTGATTAGAGATTAGAAATGTGTGTATATAATTGCCTTTAAATATTTGAATATTACGATACGATATATTTCAGAGGTACGATACGATATATTCCAGAGGTTT